TGAGAGATGCGTCAAGTGGCATTAAATATCAGAAAGTTACGGTATACTCACTTGGTATTGGAAAGAACGTTGATCAGCAGCAGCTAGAAGATATTGCCTCTTCAAGTAGCAAAGTATTTGTTGCTGAGAGTTTTAAGACACTTGCTCCTTATGCACAGACAATTGTGCAGAACTCGTGTCCTGGTAAGTCCTCTTTACCAACGGCGCTGACAGAGGCGTCTTCTAATTTTTAAGTCCTTAGTGGAATGAATGTCTTACAAGGAAACTGAAAAAAATTATTTTTCGTTATCTTTATGATTATCGTCGAGTTCGTTTTTTTTTCGCAAGATGTTCGTTTCTTTTATATACTTCTTGTTTTCTAGCACGATTTTTTATTTTTTTTTTTTTATCTTGGTTTGTTTGGTTATTTACTACCTGCATGCCTGGTTGTTTGCTTCTTGAGCAAGCTTATTTGTTGCTCGCTTACTTAATAACCACACGTTACTGCGTTTATTTCTGTGTTTGTGTTCCCTTAGTTTCATAGTGAAAAAAAAAGCAGGAAGAGAAATACTAGCAGTTTGATAATAAATTGATTTAAACACTCCTTTGTACCTCCACAATTCCCTTCACCTCTCCCAGAAATACTTTGCCAAGAAAGTTTAATAAAGTGAGAACAAGACCATCTCTATCACAGCGTTTCCTTATCTGACCTTTTTTTCTTCCTCCGTTTCCCTTTCAGCTTCAGCTAAAGGTGAGAGTTCTCAGGACTTGTTTTTATTCCAAAATTTTTTTTCAATTCCAAGCGAAATATACAGTACCTGCTTTAACCTTCAAAAATAAAATGACCTGCTTCTGGCGACCTTGAAAAGTGACCTGTGTTATATGGTAGAAAACTTCTCACCATATTGAGAGAATACGAAGGTCCACTAACAACCGTTCATTAATCCTTTTGTCCAGTTAGTGCTGGATTACGTGAAAGATTCTTACTTGCCAGGTTCTGGTCCAAATTTATTATATTTTCCTTTCGTTTCTGACATATACTCCATGGCATTGGGCTAACAAAGTTACCGGAACTTTTGATAAAAGGGCTTCATATTGCGAACCGAGACTTCTTCATTCGGATTCGCTGAGTTTCCATTCAAGTACATATTTAATGCTGTAATCATATTTTTGACAGATGCTTGTGAGATATTTCCTTGTAAGGCACCCCACAACATCGGTTGTAGAGTGGTTGACGATGAATCAGAGTGTATCTGTCCATCCTGCCCTGCTTCTTCCAGTCCAGTATGTGCTACTGATGATGTACAAGACATAAGTGAGTGCTTTACGAAGAGACAGGCCTGTCTCACTTCAACTCCAATAAATATTGCCACGAGGGCTCCGTGTGGTGAGTCAAAATCTATAGATAGTAAAGGGTGATAGTTTCTAAAGAAACTGTTAGGGGCTGCGTCGGTGGGTAACCAAATAATTTGGATATATCAACAAAGTTACCTAACCATTCCAAGCAACATATGGCAATCTGCGGTCTTTCCTTACACTTAGGTAGCACTGAAAGCCGTAAAGCTCTTGAACAAAAGCTCATCTTTCAAACCGGCAGTCTAAATTCCACAGGGATCAACGAACGCTTTTCATTCCACTAATTTATTCGTGTTTTTCTCGTTGCCATTTTCCCACCAATAACGTAGCTCCATTTTCTGCCTTTAAAAGCACACACAACCCACAATTCCTCTATTCGCTCCGACGAAGGGCTAACGCTCGAAACGTCAGCTTTTGTAATCGTTACGGTGGCCAATTTACCATTTCAACTTT